CTTGATGTTTCATTTGTCAATGACATTCCAAGGTTTATAATATATATATATATATATATTCTATGTTGCTTGTGAATCATTCTGTATATGATCGTGATACTCAACAGGATTCTCTCTAGCTATTAATCTGCTTGTGACACTGCCATTTCTCATAAAACTTGTCTTGAACTCCCTTAATCCTTCTGGGATTTGTGCCGTCGGATGTTCTTCCAGACCCCGAATGCTCCAGCGCGAGATCTTTCGAGTATCGTATTGTTTGTGGAGACTTTTTTTCTTTCAAATTGTATCATATGGCAGGGTTGTGATCGAAATGACCAATTGTTTTTTTTTTTGTTAAGCTTGTGTTTCATTGGTGGTTCTGATGATGAACAGTGTTTATTCGCAATGGTTTAAGTATATCATAACCATTCATTCATGGAATTACTAGTCCAACGTTGTCACTAGGCTGATTTTATGATGTGGCCCACAATTCACATGTAATTCATTAAGCTCTTTACGACAACTCAGTCATTTGTTGCAATCACATGTTGCATGATGTCATCTTTGGCTGTGGCTGTGTGCTTTCCATGTTTACTCGTCATAACCTATTACGACGGTTTCTTTAAATTTGTGTACAATAGATCATAAAACTTTCAATTGCCTTTGGATATGAGTTATACTTCGCGAGGAGCCAAACGGGCATATAGTCTTGCCATTTGACCTCTCTAGAAATGTTCAGTGACAACCTTCAATTGTCACGTTTAGGCCCTTTCTCGGCTACAGGATGATTCTAGTGCTTTGGGTACTACAGATCTTTTGCCATCCATTGCAGCAGAGTTATTTCATGAGCAGGGGGACTAAGCGTACTCGGCTCTTCCACTGTCCAGGCTACCTTTCCAACCATGCTGTGCTCCTTTAGTATAGGCCTACCACGCTTTGCGCTGGTAGCATTTTTCGCTTTTTGTATCAAGAGGTTAGCTATAAAAGTATAATTTTTAATTTTGTATCAACGGAACAGTTTTATTCGACCACCTATGGCACAAAACTCATACAATATATTTTTAAAAATTTAAGAATTAAATAGACAAAAATGTAAAAGAAAAAAAGAAAAAAGATATATAAAGAGAGTAGGAAACAATAAGTCCATTTTGGGTGGAAAATTCCTTGCGGAAAGGAAAGTTATTAGAATCTTTCAAACCCAAACAATTCATTCTCAAAATTCTCTCTCTGTTAGGCATGAGATTTTCCAACTCCCATTTGGCAGAGAAATCCCATCATAAACATCGTTCCCAGAGGGAGAGATGGGTTTGGTCTGGTCCTCTGTTATGCTCTTTCTTAGGCATCTCCGCCATTGTTTCCTTCTTCTTCTTCTCCCTCCGCTCCCCAAACCCTTCTCTTCTTCTCCGCCCCAACCTCCCCGCCCTCCAATCCATCCACGATCCAACCCCTCCAAAGGGTATCCATCCACCACTCCCATTTCTCCATTTTTTTTTTCTTCATCGTCTTCTCTGTTAGATCGTTGAATCGTGGGCTGTTTGTTTGTCTGTTTGTTTGTTTGTTGATGCAGAGAAACAGAGGTGCAATCTGTTCAAAGGGCATTGGATTAAACAGGCCGGAGGGGCGGGCATATACACGAATTGGAGCTGCCCCACGATCCCAGAATCGAAGAATTGCTTCAAACAGGGGAGGAAGGACATGGATTTTGTGAACTGGAGATGGAAGCCAGATGAATGCGAGGTTCCAAGATTTGATTCCATGGCGTTTCTTCATCTTCTCCGTGGAAAGAAACTCGCTTTTATCGGCGATTCTGTTGCCAGAAACCAATTCGAATCTCTCCTCTGCTTCTTGTCTCAGGTTCCATCTCTTCCTCTCTGTTTCTCTCTGTTTCTAGCAAATGGGTGTTGTTCTTGATTGCTCTGATTCCTTGCATGCGTTTGATTGTGAAACGAAACTGGAAATCTCTATGAATTTTAATCAAATTAAAAGGAATTAGGGAATGAAATCATCATAGATTTGCTTTTGGTTGGTCTTTGTGTTCTTTGACGAATTTTCTTTACTTGGAAAATGCTCCTCCATGGATGAATTTTGGTGGGCTCAACATCCTTACCTTTTTTCAACCTCTTTTTTAATTTAAAAAAAAAAAAAAATTAGATTTTTGTCTTGTGGGAAGCTCTAGCTCATAAAAACATGTCTCATAATTATTTTTTTAGTTGAAAATAAATTTTTATTGAGTTTTTTTTATTTTTATTTATCTTACTGTGACATTCTTTCTCACTTAAATTTATCATCGAGGACGATGACATCCTGGCCTCTGCCCTTCCATCCCTGGATAGTAGAGAGGACATAGTTTTTTTTTGAATGAAAATAGATGGCCAGTGTCTGATCGAATTCATCTGGCAAGATTTTATTATTTTAAAATTTTATATTATTATTATTATTATTATTATTATTTTGAAAGAAATACATATATTTCGAAGAAATTAGTCATAAAAAAAGGGAAAAAATAAATTTATGATAATGAGGTGAAAACTTGGGAGTTAAAGGTCATACTTAGGTGCCATTTATTGAATATTATGACCTTCCAAAATTAGAAGTTGAATTTTAAAAATTTCCCATTTTGAAATTTGGAAATAAATTTCTTATAATTTCTTTTCCAATATGACCTACTTCTAAATAAATTTTACTTTTTCCTAAAAAAAATTTCTCAAAAATATTTATAATTATTCAAAATTTTTAAATTTTTATTAGAAATATTTATAATTAAATTATAGCAATAAATTAAGAAAAACAAAAAATTCAAAAAATACAAAAAATACAAAAAAACACCTCCTTAATTTCAGGGAATTGACTGCCATTAATGCCCACCAATTTAATTTTATAAAAAATAATAAAAAAAATATCCTTAAAATTAAAATTAAAATTAAAAAAAAAAAGACAATATGATGATGAAAAGTAAAAAAGAAAAAAAGATTAAAATAATAATTTTGGACCCAACCCCAAGTTAGTGTTTTCTTTAAAAGATTGATTAAGAAATAATTATTAAATATATTATTATTTATTTATTATTATTATTATTATTAAAGCATTTAATGATTAGTGTGCTAGATTTTTGTCTCAAGCTAACTTTATAATATTGTCAAAATTTCTTATTTTTTTTATATAATAAAGTTCAAATATCTCTTAATCCTAAGTTTTTGTGTATATGTTTCGAATATCGTTGTTAGCTCATGGTTGGAGGAGGTTACTTTTACGGGTATCGGTTCTTTTAAATGTTTCTTAGTTGAGATAGAGTCGAGTAGCATTAAGATTCTCGGGATAGCTTTTGAACTGAGGAAGTTGTTTTTGCAGGTAGAAACTCCACAAGATGTTTATAAAGACTCCGAGGATAGGTTTAGGACATGGTATTTTCCAAAAAGTGACCTAACCCTTCTCATGCTTTGGACTAAATTCCTCGTGGCCGGAGAAGAGAGGGTTGTGAATGGAACGGGAACGGGCGTTTTTGATCTACAATTCAACGAGATTGATAAGAGTTGGACGCAACACTTACCCGAAATCGACTACGCGATTCTCTCTAACGGGCATTGGTTTTTTCGAGTGTTGTACTTGCATGAAGGAAACAACATTCCCAATTGCATCTATTGCAGCAATCCAAATATCACGAGTCACAATCCTGACTTTGCGTTGAGAATGGCTTTTCGAGCGGCTTTTAAGTACATCAACGAGTGTAAGAATTGTGGTAAGTTGGTGACATTTGTGAGGACGTTCTCGCCTGCACATTTCGAAAACGGGGTTTGGAACACGGGTGGATATTGTAATAGAACAGGTCCGTCGAGTGCGAAGGTGATCGACCAAGAGAGCTTTGATTGGAAGCTAAGGAATATTCAGATAGAAGAGACGGAAAAGGCGAGACTAGACGGGAGGGGAAAAGGGAAGAGATTCGAGGTTATCGACGTGACGATGGCTATGACGATGAGAGCGGACGGGCACCCGGGGGAGTTTTGGGGAAACAAATGGATGAAGGGTTACAATGACTGTGTGCATTGGTGCATGCCAGGCCCCATTGATGCATGGAATGAGCTTTTGATGGCAGTTATAAGGAAGGAGGAGGCAGCTATGGATTCATAACAATAATACCAAATAATTTCATTAATGTTTACCAATTTTTATTTTTGAAATGTGGCTGAGAGTATACAAATATAATAATATATTCATTGAGTTTCATTATATTTTATAATTTTTTAAAATAAAATTAATAATTACGCTCGGGTTCTACAAAGACCCTATGAAAGCTAAGCTCAAATTACTATTTTTTTACTAGTAGGGATGTCCGTGAGTTGAGTTTGACGCGGGTTGCTCTAGGGATAATAGACTAATCTTCCTCAAGAGCTCACATCGACGGGAAGGTTTGGCACCTCGATGTCGACTCTTCGCCACCTGGGGCTGTAGTATGTTCTAAGGGTTGGGCTGTTTGCCCATTAAAGCGGTACGTGAGCTGGGTTCAAAACGTCGTGAGACAGTTTGATCCATATTCGGTGTGGGTGTTAGAGCATTGAGAAAACCTTTCCCTAGTACGAGAGGACTGGGAAGGACACACCTCTGGTGTACCAGTTATCATGCCCTCGTGCCCATGAAAACAAGTGCGGATAACTGCTGAAAGCATTTAAGTAGAACATTTTTTATACCCAAATCATTGAGTAATATATATTTTTATTTTTATTTTTTTAATAAAAATAAAATATTAATTTAGTAAAACATTTATTTATTTTCAAACATTTAATTAAGATTTGTAGGTTCAATTTTAATATATATTTTGAAAAATTACTTAAAAATTATTTAAAAAAGATAAAAATAAAATAAATATATGTATATATAATTGCATGGTAAGCAAAAATATATATTTTAAAATTAACAATAAATTCGAGTTCGAGTTTAACCCGATGTAGTAGTAGGGGAACCCATGAACTAAACCAATTCATAAAATTTTCATTTATTTGGACCCGACCAACAAAAAAAAAAAATTATAACCAACTCAAACCGAATGGGTTGATCGAATTTTGTCGGATCTTTGAATTTTTTGAACATTTCTAGTTACATTTTGACCACATAATAAAAATTATTTTAAACATGAAATCATAGTAGAAAATGAAAAATGGAAATTAAATCCATTTGTTCGTGTTCGTGTCCGTGTTCGTGTTCATGGATCTTCGACTCTATAATATTGGAGCAATGGAGCTTTTGAGGAAGATCCGCCATCTAATTCTTTCAATTCTTCCTCTTTTGCCTTTCCCCACAATATGCCATAGAATCCAACTGATATTATGATAGCTCCAATTATACTGCAAATGATACCAACGTTATCTTCAATAATTAGAGATATCTACGAAGCGGGATAGGTACGGACAAACTTTTCTCCTTCTCGTTCCTGCCTCTTATTTCCATTCTTAGAGAATGGAGATGAGGTGTAACAACCTAAGCCCACCACCCTATCTATAAGTATTGTTTTGTTCACCTTCCCAACTGATGTGAAATCTCATAATCCACCCTCGTTGGTGGCCAGCATACCCGCTAGCACACCACCCTGTGACTGGCTCTAATACAATTTGTAACAATCCAACCTCACCGCTAGCAAATATTGTCCGCTTTGGCTGTTACGTATCGTCGTTAGCCTCACAGTTTTAAAGCGCGTCTGCTAGGGAGAGGTTTCCACACCCTTTTAAGGAATGTTTCGTTCCCCGCTTCAACCGATATGGGATCTCACAATCCACCCCATTGGGAGCTCAGTGTCCTCACTAGCGTAGATATTGTCCACTTTAGAACCTTGAGGAAAACCCAAAAGGGAAAGTTTAAAGAGGATAATATTTGCTAGCAGTATGCTTGAGCTGTTATACAAGGAATCCCCGACCCATTTAGTTAACAGATAAAAAGCTCTCCCCATTTCCTCTCTCATTCTCAGTGACTTCTTTTTGTCCACTTTCCTCCGTTTTTTATTCCACATTACTTCTTTTTAGATAGAAACTCATTGACCAATCTAGGGCAGGTCCTTGCAAACCTGCGGACGTCTCTACGAGCTCTACAGATTAAACGAACATCTTTACGAGCTCCGTGTCACGGTCATGCTCCTAAGGCATGTTGCCCATGGCCGCATGCCCATGACAAACCCAACTCTTTATGTCTTTTCATATTCTAGTGTTTTACTTTTGTATTTACAGGAAGTATGACATTTCAGAAATATCATGTCTAGGCCTGTCAGACATGAAATTACTCATAATGTACTATAGTAGGATACGACTAGTTGTCAGCTTCTCTCTACCCAAGGTTATATACTGTGAGCCGTTGTTATTTCTCTCTTGCTTGCTTATATAACGTCTCTTTCAAAAATCTCTCTCTGCTCTCATTTTCTAAAACCTTCTTTTTAAACCGAGACTAGAGGCTCGAGCATACGTCGCTTGGCCGTAGGCGACGAAAGAACGAATTGGCTTAGCTCACTTGTCGTTGGAAAGTGAGTGCCGCACAATCGCAAGTCCGCTGCCATTAAAAGTGCGATTGTGTCACTCCGCACATAAATGAACATTTTACCGAAAATCGAACAAAATGAAAGAGAGATAGAGAAAAAGAGAGATTATTTGACCTTCCAAGATGAAGATCATCAGCAAGAAGAATGGCACCCATAGCAGCAGCAATGGCAATGGACAATGGCCTAAAACTGGACACATAAACAGGCCCCTTCAAGCTGAGTCCCCAAGTGTGGATAGCAGCCACAAAGGCCTGACCCATCATACCCTACATTCTCAACCAACAACACCAAAATTCCATCATTTTCCCGAGAAACAAACAGAATCCCATTTCCCAATTCCTCTGCCTTTCAATCTTACCGAGTTCAGTATGAACACAAAGCTTAGTGCATTTGTCATCCTCCAAGCATTCATGTCTGTTTCTGCCAACAAACACACCGGCGCCGTTAAAACTGCCTGGATGCTGTAGTACACTGCCACCACTGTTACCTCATCTGGGTATGTCTTTATGATTTGGGTCTGTCATGTAAATACCAATAACAATATATGACTCTTTTTTTATACATTCGACCCAGGTCGAATTTATAAGCTTAATTCAAAAGATAAATGAGAAGGTCAAACAAGACCTAACCAAGCCCACCACCGGTAGATATTGTCTGTTTTAGCTCGTTACGTATCGTCATCAACTTCACGGTTTTAAAACGCGTCTTCTAGGGAGAAATTTCCTAACAATCCAAATCCACCACTAGTAGATATTGTATGTTTTAACTCGTTACATATCGTCATAAACTTCACGGTTTTAAAACGCGTCTTCTAGGGAGAGGTTTCTTAACAATCCAAGTCCACCACTAGTAGATATCGTATGTTTTAACTCGTTACGTATTGTCATAAACTTCACGGTTTTAAAACGCATCTTCTAGGGAGAGGTTTCTACACCTTTATAAGGAATGCTTCGTCCCTCTCTCCAACCGATGTGTGATCTCACAATCTATCTCCCTAGCAGTTCAGTGTCCTCACTAGCATACCGCCCCTTGTCTGGCGAAGATGCGTAATGGGATGAAGCGGACAATATCTAATAGCGGTAGGCTTGAGGTATTACATAAATTATAAACATAACGATTACCAAACCAGACCTCAAGTATAAGAATTCAAAGCTAAAAAGTTGTAAGGAGAGTATTGATGCAACCATAAAAGTAACGATCAACTTAAACATAGTTCAATTGGTTAAGACAGTCGAGTCGGGATATAAATACCTGGAGAATGTACCAAAAGGAGGTGGAAAGGTACTGAAAAACAAAGCAAAGGCCACCCAATATCCAATTGGGCTGTGGATGAGAAGAGCCCAAAGGTTGATTGTGATTGTGATAGAGAAGGCCCAACGCTTTTGGGCCTTGAGAATATGGGTTTGATATCACAACTGGGCCTTTGTACAGAACCACTACCAATGCACCTGATATCGACACTGCTGACCCCACAATTTTGGCTATGCTGCTGCTCCTTTTCAAATCTATCTTTTCCATCCTAACCATGCAAACCAATTCAATAACTTATTTACAAATTTTTAATTTCAAAAATCGTCACCTAAAAAATTCGACATTCGACACACAAAACACACGAAACACACGAAGCATGAATCAAATTTTTATAAAAATATATTTTAGGTATTTAACTCGAAATCCCTCTCACGTTTTCATGTTATATAAAAATGACCAAAATACCCTCACACTTCAGCATCACTTCCACTATGCGCACTATGCCTTTTTTGGACAGAGCCTCGTTACCTCCACAATCATTGGCACTGCCCACCTTCGACGACGGTTGTTGCCACCATCGTCACCACCCCACCTCCCACCTTCGATGACCTCCTAATAATGGACAATGATATTGGATCGACCATATTGTTTTAATTAAAAATTTGAACTTATAAATTCATAAGGTTTAATAATCCTTCTCTAAAATAATTTGATATTATTATAAGTATTTTGAATCTAATTTGTACTATATCTATAAACATATTTAATTATAATATATATATATAAAAACTATAGACTAAATTACAAATTTGAAAATAGATTTGCAATTATTAAGGAAAAATGGGACAAAAGTGATCAACCACCAAAGATATTTGGCGGCCAATAAGATAATAAAATAAATATATAATTTAAAATTTTGAATAATTTAGCCTACACGTTAGGTATAATATTATGAAAAAGAGAAAAAAAGAAACCCAATAACGCAAGCCATTTATTATTTTTTTAGTTTATTTAAAATATTGATTTATTTCTGATATAATCTACAATTTTTAATTAAATTTAACCAAAATTTAATGATTTTTATTTTCTATGGTTGAAATTATACTCATTTAATATTAAATTATTTTTCGAATATCTTTTTGAATTCCATTGAAAGCTAAATCAACAATTTTTTTTTAAAAAAAATCAATAAATATTATAGGATATTGAGCTTATCCATTCAACTCTTGTTGGGTCCGAGAAAATTGATATTTTTTTTAATCTTTATATTTTCTATAAAATATTTTAAAATTCTGATAATACCCTTCAATTTAAAAATTCAAAATAATATCATGCTGTTAGTATCATGTTTCAAAAATAGTCGAGAATTTTTAAATTATCATTAATATCCTTAATCTTTACAAAAAGGCATTTGGGAAGATGTTTGGGCTTTCCGAGTCCAAACCAGTGGGATAGGCCTCTTCCCAAAAGGCATTTGGGAAGCGACACGTTTCGACCGAGCTTCTACCAACCCGACCACTATACTAAGAGATCCATATACCAATCTTGAGCCCTCTGATGTAAGATGTTAAGGGCCGGTATTTAATGCTTATTTATCTTTTTAAATTAGAGATATAATTGAGAGTTGAGGAGATAGAAGGAGAAACTGACCCGAAAAAGACGGCCAGAATGAAAGTGAACGCCGGGATGAGGTTGCTAATGGCGGATGAAAGAGTGGGGGAGCTGAACTCCAATCCTTTGTTCCCAAGCAATTGGCACGAAAGCCTTGAAAAATTCAACACAATTCCAAAACCCATTAGCCCTCAGAACTTAAAAAGCATATAAAATTAGCCGAATCGGGAAGACGCGCCGCCGTACCCGAGGGCGGAGAGGGCGACGAGTTTGAAGAACAGGGAAATCTTGTTCGGCGGAAGCTGTTGCGATCTGCAGAGACAGAGAGAGAGGTTGAGGAATTAGGGAAATGAATCGATTTATAAGCGGAGAGAGAGGCAGAGAGAGAAACAGAGTGCCTGTGAAAGATGAGGGCGAAAGGGATGAGGACGACGGCGGCGGCGACGCAGACATAGAGGGTGAAGACGTAGTAGCTCATGCCTCTGGCGGTGGCGGCTTTGAAGCCTGTGTTGGATCCCACGGTGGCGCACTCGGCTGCAACCATGGCGGCGAATGGCAGTACGTCTTTGTAAAACAAGCTCCTCTCCATCTCTCTCTGGCTCGCTCCGTAAAAGCTGTACGGTGGAGCCTTTTCTCCTTCTTGTGGGTATGGTGTGCGTTTGGTCCCATTTTAAGGGATGTTTTTACTTTCAAGTCACTTTCTTTTTTTTTTTAATTTAAATAATAATCGGATTGACCCGTCATCACCGAAAGGTTTTCACACTCTTGTAAGGAATGTTTTGTTCCTCTTCTTAACCGATGTCAGATCTTACAATTCACCCCACTTGAAAGCCTAACGTCCTCGTAAGTACACTGTTCGGTGTCTAGCTTTAATACCAATCAGTCTTGATTTGATTTTCGAAATTTCGAAAACAAGGTCGTGACACTTCCGTTGAAATGAACTTCTAAATAATTATATCTCATTAAAATAATTAGGTAGCTAAGTTAATACATTTTATGATAGCGTAGTTGAAATTCTCGCAATGCTTTTGCCAACACATGACAAATTTCATTGGGATAACTTCTTCTTACATGCCACTTATGTCACTAAATAAAAATATCTATTTATAAGCCAAGTCCTTCTCGAAAAAGTGAAAATGTGTGGCCCTATTCCCAATGTATAAATCCCGAACTCAATGGTAGTTAAGAGAACAACTACTTGTTTATTGAACTAACCATAGAAATTCGAAGCTCGATTAAAAAGGGTTGGTTGGAAGGGATTACTTTCTGTGGTCTGTTTTTCCCTTCGAGATATTCTCTTAACAAAATAGGTTCACGTCACACTTTGGCTTGCTACAAGCTAGGCTCAGGGAATTACGGTCAGCTGCTTCCCCTGTGGTCGTCAGCTCGTTCTTGATAGAGCCGATTGGGTGTTCATAGTATGGAGTAAAAGGATTCGAACCTTTGCATGCCGGTACCAAAAATCGAAGCCTTACCACATGACTATACTTTATATGGCCTTGTTTTGGACGATAGAACGAAGAGAGGGAAAAGGGAGAAGCCTCACTTGTGCATACCAAAAGACATTTCCTCGTTGTGAATGTTTGCTGAATCCACCACACCTAAATGGGGGTGAGAGTGCTCTTATTTATAATCATTTACAAAATACAGAAATATGGTAAATTACAAATAATATGGAAATAGCAATAAAAGGAAAGAATAATAAATAAATACAATATATTTACCTTTAATAAAGGGCAAATATGGTAACCCGTAATGTAAGGCAAATATAGATATTTGCCTTATAATGAACGGTCAACTATCCTTAACACTCGTAAACCAAAGTTCATAACTCACCTAGAGTTGAGACCAAATTGCATACGATCATAGTCTCAACATATTTATCTTCTCAATTAACGAATTTAAAACTGTTACAAAGAAAATTGTATAAACATCAAACTTTATCTATATACCATAAACTCTTGAAGTTATTTCTTAACTACGAACCTTCTCTATGTCAATTGCATACTATTCAAAATTACGTTAAAACATTCTATAGGTCTCCGAACTTTAAATTATAAGATTAAAATGTCTAATAGGTATTTAAATTTTAAAATATTCTAATCGTAACAAAAATAAACCACGTAAGAGCCGAAACGACGAGTGTCTCGAAACGTGATAAGTGAAGAGCCAACACAATTGACTGCCCAACAAAGATCTCTGTTCCAAAGAAGCTGACAAAATATACTAAGATCATTTTCTTTCCCCTCTCTTTAAGAACCAACACAAATCCACATATTTTCGATTATTTGTCTCTAATTGAGACAAAATTGCTTCGTCTTTTTTAGATCATTTCATTTGAAGGATATTTTTTTTAGTTTTAGAAAGTATATGTGATGTTCCACATTGGTTGGAGAGAACAAACCACCATTTGTAAGGGTGTGGAAACCTTCCTCTAGAAGACGCGTTTTAAAGCCTTGACGGGAAGCCCAAAAGAGAAAGCCCAACGAGAACAATGTCGGCCTAGCAATGAATCTGGGCCATTGATTTTATCAAAATAGTTTACCAAATCTAGTTCATATCCTTCCAAATTTGTTTTCGTTGAATTCGACAATATTTTGGGAATTCATTGATTTTGATGGCTCCGAGGTTTGTATATGACATAATTTTACCATTGAGGGTGTGGGCATGTTAATATCGAGTTTAACTAGGATGTTACGCTTGATGGTAATCGTGCATGAATTTGAAAGGCTATCCGAAAACATGTCTGATTGATTTTTTGTTGTATTGGAATAGGGCAAGATTTTTTAGATTTCTAATGAATATGGGCGACAATATACAAAGTTTAACCTTAAAAAATATGAGAGGGAGAGGGAGAAAACGCCCAACAACATCAATATAATGGTGATATGAAGATGCCTTTCAAAGGTCTCTTTGCTGTGGATAGCACTCACTCACAAATGACTGCCCAACAAAAATCCCTATTCTAATGAAAGAGACAATATTCCAACTCCAAAAGCAAGTCAATGTCAAATCAAAGATTTATCCTTCTATTTTAAGGGTAGGTTTGAAACATTTAGAACGGATCAAACATAGAATAGAGGATTTTTAAACAAAAGTTGTGATATCCCACATCGATTGGAGAGAGGAACAAAACATACATTATAAGGGTGTAGAATCTTATCCTTAGTAGACGTGTTTTAAGATCTTGAGGAGAAGCCCTTGAAGGGAATGCTCAAAGACGACAATATCTACTAGCGGTGGACTTGGACTATTACAAATGGTATCAGAGCCAAAATTCAATTCAAGTGGTGTGCCAGTGAGAACACTGGGCCACCAAGGGAGGTGGATTATGAGATCTCACATCGGTTGGAGAGGAGAACAAAGCATTCCTTATAAGAGTGTTGAAACTTCTCCAAAGTAGACGCGTTTTAAGACCTTGAAGGGAATGCTCAAAGATGACAATATCTACTAGCGGCGGATTTGGACTATTACAAATGATATCAGAGCTAGGTTTCAGGTGGTGTGCCAACAAGTACACTGGGTCTCCAAGGGAGGTGGATTGCGAGATCCCACATCGGTTGGAGGGAGGAACAAAACATTCCTTATAAGGGTGTAGAAACTTCTCCCTAGTAGACGCGTTTTAAGACCTTGAGAAGAAGCCCTTGAAGGGATGCTCAAAGATGACAATCTACTAGCAGTGGACTTGGACTATTACAAATGGTATTAGAGCCAGGTTTCAAGTCGTGTGCCAGCGAGGACACTAGACCTCCAAGGGAGGTAGATTGTGAGATCCCACATCGGTTGGATAGGGGAACAAAACATTCCTTATAAGAGTGTAGGAACTTCTCCCTAGTAGATGTCTTTTAAGACCTTGAGGAGAAGCCCATGAAGGGAATGCTCAAAGATGACAATATCTACTAGCAGTAGACTTAGATTATTACAAATGGTATCAAAGCCAGGTTTCAAGTAGTGTGCCAACGAGGACACTAGGCCTCCAAGGGAGGTAGATTATGAGATCCCACATTGGTTGAAGAGGGGAATGAAACATTCTTTATAAGAGTGTGCAAACCTCTCCCGAGTAGACACATTTTAAAATCGTGAGGCTGATGACGATACGTACCGGGTCAAAGCGGACAATATTTACTAGAAGTGGGTTGAGCCGTTAGAAAGACTAACTTCAATGATATATCTCATAATATATAGACAAATATGATTTAAATGATAGAAGAAACAATAGACACAAAAAGTTATCTAATCCAGCCAAAGCAACTCTTCTTACTATACATTTGAGGATATTTGGCTGGATGATCTATAATTTTTACTTACAAAACATGAATTCAAAAGCAAAAACAGATTGGATCGAGTATAAACATAACATACCTGCAAGGCCTGAGGTACTCACAAAATGTGTTAGTCATCTTGAACTTTACAGCTTTTCAACAATGGAATCTTATCTTTGGATGAAGACCCCAAGCTTGAACAAAACTCGTCTTTCCCCTTCAACTCTTCTTCTTTTATTTTCCCCCACATTATTGAGTAAAACCCACTTGCTATTATTGTTGCTCCAATAATACTGCCACAACAAACAAATGGATGAAAGGTTCAGTGATATACGATGTTGTAACGGTCTAAGTCCAAGTCCACCGTGCTAGCAGATATTGTCTTTTTTAACCTTTCTCATCCGGGTTTTTCCTTCAAAGTTTTTAAAACGTGTCTGCTAGGAAGAGGTTTTCCCCTCTCCGATCAATATGGGGTCTCACAATCTACCCCCTTTCGGACCCAGCGTCATCGCTGGCATATGTTTCCCTCTCCAATCGATATGAGATCTCACGACACGTGCTCAATGAGTCCTTGCACGTGTCATTTATATTTTATATCATGTGATGATGTGACTATATTATTTGATGACGTGACTATGTTATATGATGATCCTATATGATATTACACGATGATGTATATATGACGATGTAAGATGTATGATGATGAGATGTCATGATATGACCTTATTCCATATTAAGATAATGCAAATGTATTAAATGTCATGATGCATTATGACGATAATTTTTCTAAGACGCAACCCTAGTTAATGTTAATGATGATGAACCTATCAACGCCAATGCATGCATGTTAGTTACCGTGTATAAGGACATTAATTTTTATTTCTTCCTCTTAGGCTAATGGATCTTTTCCAATGGAAGATCTCCTCAGATAATAGAACGTCAAAATAAACAAACTCAACCGTAATTGACACGTATTCTCAACCAAGAGGACAGAGATTCCAAATCTCCCAACTCCAAATGTTGTCAAACTAAACAAAAAAGAACAATATTTCAACTAGTATGAAACCGTTCAATGAAATCAAACGATAAATCACGGGCTCAAAGTTGACGATATCATACCCTTACAGACATGTATGTATACCAAATTCATAAATGTTCGGGTATTTTTTTAATTGTCCTAAATGTTTAAAAAGTGACCGAAAACAATAATGCACAAACCAGAGAGAGAGAGAGAGAGATATGCACCTTCCAAGATAGAGATCATCCCCAAGGAAAATGACACCAGTAGCAGCCGCAATGGCAATTGAGAGAGGCCTGAAACTCGAAACATAAACAGGCCCTTTGACATGGACACCCCATGTGTGGATGGCAGAGACGAAGGATTGACCCACACATCCCTAGATGACCACAACAACAACAAAAACAAAAACTCCACATTTAAAGCAATCACAACCCTCTTCTATCTACAGCTCAACCCAAATTCAAATCCTTTTCCCTTCTTACCGAGTTCAAAACAGCAACCAATTCAAGACTGTTTTTTAGCTTCCATGCACCCAAGTTTCCTTCTGCTAATAGGCATATGGGTGCAGCTATTATGACCTCGAAAACATAGTACAAGCACACCACAGCTAGTTCATCTGGATACATGTTCACCATTTGGGTCTGTAAATAACTCTTTTGTCAGTATAATTATCCATTTTGACTCTCACTTCAAAAGCTAACTCAAAAGGTGAGGTTCCTATCCTTTTACAACTAATATTCTTTGGGTTCATCTAGATCGAGTGTGCATTGTTGTGCGACCCTAACAGTCAAGTGAACAAGGCTCTGAGTGATCAACACATGTCAAACACATACATGTTACCCATAAACTCAATCTCTAGTGGACTATTGGGCGATATCATAGTCTTGGTGTGAAACCACTTGCATTTGTGAGCCCATAAACTATCTTAAGATGTACAGATTTCACATATACTTGCTAAGAAACCAAAATTCAACTCTTTTACAGCCAAACACAACAATACCAACAAAATCTTGATTCAGAAGAATTAAGAAGCCATTCAATCATATATGATATTAGTAAATGTTTTGCACAAAAGGAATAAAGGGAGGTTGCATAAATTTGAAAGGAAAATTACCAGAATAATGTACCAGAAAGAGTTGAGAAGGTACTGAGCAAAAAAGCAGAGGCCACCCATGATCCAATTGGGTTGGGAAGAGGCCAAAGGATGTGAAAGATTCAACCTTGTTGGCGCAGCAAATGGGTTAGATAGAATGACGGGACCTTTATAAAGAACCACTACAAGTGCACCTGCTATAGACACCGCCGAGCCAACGATTTTCGCGGTGCTGCTTGAGCTTTTCAAAGCTAGCTTCTCCATCCTAACCAAAGAAAATGATGACACCAAATTTAGCATATATTTCATACGTTTGATGTGAAATACCACCTAGGTTGGAGTGGAGAATGAAATACCCTTTATAAGGGTGTAGAAACCTCTCCCGCATTTTAAAGCCTTGAGGTAAAGTCCAAAGAGGACAACATCGGCTAACGGTGGGCTTGGACCGTTACAATGGTATCAGAGCCCGACAGCGAGGAGGCCCTTCCCCAAAGAGGTAGACACGAGGCAGTGTGCCAGCAAGGACGCTAGGCCTCGAAGGGGATGAATTTAGTGGGGGTCCCACATCGATTAGAGAAAGGAACGAGTGTCAGCGAGAACGCTGGGCCTTGGGGGTGGAGAACGAAACACCCAAGGGTGTGAAAGGTCTGAAAGAGAAAACTAAAAAGAACCATATCTGCTAGGGGTGCGCTTGAACTGTTACATTTTATGGGTTGACATTAAACTCATTTTCAAGTAATTGCACTATATGATTAAAAAAAAAAAAATCAAGATGCAGTCATCTCTATTCTTAAGACTTTCATTCTATTCTTATTCCATTCTTCGCGTAATTTAGAAGAAAACTTAGCTGCTACATGAACTACAGCCATTTATGCAGCCTAGCTCAAACATATGGGCAAACCACCACAGTGCGCCACTTGTCATCACATTTTTTTCCTTTTTCTTTTCATTTTTCATTTAAGATAAATCGTATAGGATTATATTCTAAAATCTCATAGATCTCTCCATGAACTTAACAACATGAATAAAATCTTTAACAATCTCTTTTTTTTTTTTTTTCCATTCTAATATATATATTTCTTTTCATTTTTTTTTCTAATCCATGCAATACTATTTACTCTCAACTGATCCATTAAAATAATTATCTTTGGTTGCAATTCTTTTTTTTTTGTTGGTATTACATGAAATATATATATATATATATATATAAAAGTAGAAATTTAGATATAATATGTTGTATAATTTTCCGGTACTTATCTTTATAGATCATTTGTAATCGTCCAAGCCCACAGTTAGTAGATATTATCTATTTTGGCCTGTTATGTATCGCCGTCAACCTCATAGTTTTAAAACACATCTGCTAGGGAGAGTTTTCCACACCCTTATGAGGAATATTTCGTTCCACTCTCTCATCGATGTGGGATCTAACATAAAAATTTGGACCATTTCTCGATTTGTGCGCGTGTCATCCCCTTGCGCATGGGTCATGTCAATCTTCTTTGTATTGTTTCAATTTTGTTGTAACGTTAAATATGTCCGAGTGGTTAAGTAGATAGACTTAAAATCTGTTGGGCTTTGCTTGCGTAGGTTTGAATTTTGCGACTTTTTAGCTTTATTGTGAGATCTGGAACGAATCATTCCTTATATAAGGGTGTCACAATATGTTTGAGTGGTTAAGGACACATACTTGAAATTTGTTGCAGAGAACGAATCATTCCTTATATAAGGGTGTCACAATATGTTTGAGTGGTTAAGGACAAATACTTGAAATTTGTTGCAGTTGGGCTTTGCCTGCAGGTTCGAGACCAATTGTTGAATCATGACGACCTTTTAGCTTTATTGTGAGATACCACATCGGTTGGATAGGGAACGAATCATCACTTATACAATGGTGTCAATATGTCCGAGTGGCTAAGGAGATAGACTCGAAATCTAATGGTCTTTGCCTACGCAAGTTTGAATCCTGTTGTTGATGACTTTTTACTTTATCTTTATTTTATAGGAACGGATCATTTCTTATATATGGGTGTAACTTTATTGTGAGATTGCCTTTGCACGTTCGAAGACTCTTTTTGCTTTAGCTTTATTGTGAAATCCCACACCAGTTGGATAGAGAACGAATCATTTCTTACATATAGGTGTCAATATGTCCGAGTGGTTAAGGAGACAGACTTGAAATCTGTTGGGCTTTGCTTGTGCAAGTTTGAATCTTGCTATTGACG